GTATATGAAATTAAAATTAATTACTCGTTCAAAAGTTTGAAATGATTCTCTTGTACCATGTAAATAAATTTAAATTACATTATATCAACAATCAATAGCTAAACTTCAATTTATAGCCTTTCTCACAAAAACTCGATCTTTTCATAGGGTTTAGCCCACATATTTCAAGATAAATTATATAAAACGATATTTTTGTTTTACTGAATAGAAGCATCATGCACTGACATAGTATGAAGATTAAAGAGGTTTGAGACCTTAGGTGTTCCCGTGTCTCCAAAAAATATTTTTTTATTAGGGTTAGTCCACTGATCAATTGGTATATGAAGTTAAAATAAATTACTCGTTCAACAGTTTGAGATGATGCTCTTGTACCATGTAAATAAATTTAAAATACATTAAATTAAATTTATAATCTGATTTGATATTTTTAATCAACAATCAAGAGTCTAAACTTCAATTTATAGCTTTTTCGGAAAACTCGATCTTTTCGTAGGGGTTAGCCCACATATTTCAAGATAAATTAGAAAAAATGATATTTTTGTTTTACTGCATAGAATCATCATGCAATGACATAGTATGAAGATTAAAGAGGTTTGAGACCTTAGGTGTTCCCGTTTCTCTCAAAAACTTTTTTTATCGGGGTTAGTCCACCTATTAACTGGTATATGAAGTTAAAATTAATTACTAATTCAAAAGTTTGAAACGATGCTCTTGTACCATGAAAATAAATTTAAAATACATTAATTTAAATTTCTAACCTGATTTGTCTTTTTAATCAACAACAAAGAGCCTAAACTTTAATTTTTAGCCTTTATCAAAAAACTCGATCTTTTCGTAGGGATTAGCCCACATATTTCAAGATAAATTAGAAAATAATATTTTTGTTTTACTGCATAGAAGAATCATGCACTGACATAGTATGAAGATTAAAGAGGTTTGAGACTTTAGGTGTTCCCGTTTCTCCAAAAAAACATTTTTTTATCGGGGTTAATCCACCTATTAAGTGGTATATGAAGTTAAAATTAATTACTCGTTCAAAAGTTTGAAATGATGCTCTTGTACCATGAAAATAAATTTAAAATACATTAATTTAAATTTATAACCTGATTTGGTATTTTTTAATCAACAACAAAAAGCCTAAACTTTAATTTTTATCATTTATCGAAAAACTCGATGTTTTTGTAGAGGTTACCCCCACATATTTCAAGATAAATTAGAAAAAATGATATTTTGTTTTACTGCATAGAAGCATCATACACTGACATAGTATGAAGATTAAAGATGTTTGAGAAAATTAACGAGGCCTGATACTTTTTTGTCCATGTTTCTTTAAAAATTACATTTGTTTTACGGGTTAGTCCACATAATTAGGTGGAATAAGAAATTTTATTAAACTACTCATTAAAATATTAAAAATGATGCCCATTCACCATTAAAATAAGTTTAAAATATATTAATAAAATGTATAATTTGATTAGATATTTTTTAATCAACATGAATTTGCTTAAACTTCAGTAAATATCATTTATCGGAAAACTCGATATTTTTGTAGAGGTTAACTCACAGATTTCAATATAAATAATAAAATACGGTATTTTGTGTTAATGCATAGCTGCATCAAACATAGATATAGTATGAAGATTAAGGATGTCTGACACCTTTGTTGTCCTAATTTCTCTAGATTATAAAGATTTTATAGGGTTTAGTTCTTTGATTTAGGTCGTATATGAAGTTTTATTAAATTACTTATTTTTGAAAATTATAACTGATGTACATGTACCATGAAAATAAATTTAGGATACATTACTATAAATTTTTAATGGGTTTAAATATTTTAAATGACATTAAAGAGGCTAAACTTTAGTACAAAAAGCATTTATCGAAAAACTTTGATCTTTTCGTAGGGGTTAACCCACAGATTTCAAAATAAATTATAAAATGTGGAATTTTTTTATTTATGCATATCTATATTCAACACTGATATAGGATGAATATTACAGAATTTTGATACCTTAGTTGTCCAAATTTCTCTAGAAAGTAGAGATTTTATAGAGTTTAGTTCATTGATTTTGGTTGTATATGGAATTTTATTAAATCACTCCGTTGAAAATTAAGACTGAAGCCCATGATATGCCCATGTATCATGAACATAAGTTTAGTACATTAATATAAATTTTGAATGTGGTTAGGTATTTTTAAACAAAACTAAAGAGGCTTATATATAACATCTATCAGAAAACTCAATCTTTTTGCAGAGGTTTGTCCACATATTTCAAGAAAAAAAAGAAAATATCATATTTTTGTTTTAATGAATTTCTGTATCATTCACTAACATAGTATGGAGAGTAAAGAGGTTTGAGACCTTATGTGTTCTCGTTTCTCCATGAAATAGATGTTTTATATGGGTTAGTCCACTTATTATGTTGTATATGAAGTTTAAATAAATTACTCATTGGAAAATTATAAATGATGCCATGTACAATGAAAATAAGTTTAGCATACATATATATAAATTTATAGTGTGTTTAGGTATGTTTAAACAACACTAAATAGACTAAATAGTATAGATAGTATTTATCAAAATTTTCAGTCTTTGCTTAGGTGTTAACCCACATATTTCAAGATATATTAGAAAATATGAAAATTTTGTTTTAATGCATAGATGCATCTCATTGGCATAGTATGAAGACTAAATATGTATGAGACCTTAGGTGTTCCTATTTCTCTAGAAAATAAAGATTTTATAGGGGTTAGTACACTAATTAGATCGTATATGAAGTTTAAATAAAATATTTGTTGGAAAAATAGAAATTATGCCCATGTACAATGAATATATGTTTAGCATAAACTAATATGCATTAAAGTGTGGTTAGTTATTTTAAAAAAAAAATATTAAGGAGACTAAACTTTAGTATATATAACATTTATTGGATGAAAACTCTATATTTTCGTAAGATAAATTAGCAAATATGGTATGTTGTTTAAATGCATAATTTCATCATGCAGTGACGTCTGATGAAAATTAAAGAGGTCTGATACTTTATTTGTCCATGTTTCTATAAAAATTACATTTGTTTTATGGGTTAGTCTACATAATTAGGTGGAATATGAAATTTTATTAAACTACTCATTAAAATATTAAAAATGATGCCCATATACCATTAAAATAATTTTAACTGATATCAATAAAAATGTATAATTTTATTAGATAATTTTTAATCAACATGAAATTTCTTAAACTTCAGTTAATATCATTTATCGGAAAACTCGATCTTTTTGTAGGGATTAACCCACATATTTCAATATAAATAATAAAATACGGTATTTTTTTAATGCATAGCTGCATCCCGCATAGATATAGGATGAAGATTAAGGATGTCTGACACCTTTGTTGTCCTAATTTCTCTAGAATATACAGATTTCATAGGGTTTAGTTCTTTGATTTACGTGGTATATGAAGTTTTATTAAATTACTTATTTTTGAACACTATAACTGATGCCCATGTACCATGAAAATATATTTAGGATACATTACTATAAGTTTTTACTGTGTTTAGATATTTTAAACGACATTGAAGAGACTAAAATTTTTTTCCAAATGTCTCTAGAAAGTAGAGATTTATAGAGTTTCGTTCATTGACTTTGGTTGTATATGGAGTTTTATTAAATCACTCCGTTGAAAATTAAGACTGAAGCTCATGTACCAAAAACATAAGTTTAGTACACTAATATAAATTTTGAATGTGGTTAGGTATTTTTAAACAAAACTAAAGAGCCTTATATATAAAATTTATCGGAAAACTCAATCTTTTTGTAGATGTTATCCCACATATTTCAAGATAAATTAGAAAATATCATATTTTTGTTTTAATGAATTCCGGTATCATTTACTGCATAGTATAGAGAATAAAGAAGGTTGAGACCTTACGTGTTTTCGTTCTTTAGAAAATAGAGGTTTTGTATGGGTTAGTCCACTTATTAGGTTGTATAAGAAGCTTAAATAAATTACTCATTGGAAAATTATAAATGGTGTCATGTATCATGGAAATAATTTAAGCATACATATTACATATATATAAATTTAGAGTGTGGTTAGGTATTTTTTTTTAAAAAAAAACACTAAAGAGGCTTAATAGTATAGATAGTATTTATCAAAAATTTAAGTCTTTTTGTAGGTGTTAACCCACATATTTCAAGATAAATTAGAAAATATAGAAATTTTGTTTTAATGCATAGATCCATCATACACTAGCATAGTATGAAGATTAAATATGTTTGAGATCTTAGGTGTTTCCATTTCTATAGGAACAAAAAATTATAGGAGTTTCATCATGCAGTGACATGTGATGAAAATTAAAGACGCCTGAGACTTTATTTGTTCATGTTTCTATAAAAATTACATTGTGTTTTAGGGGTTAGTCCACATAATTAGGTAGAATATAAAGTTTTATTAAATTACTCATTAAAATATTAGAAAGGATGATCATGTACCATTAAAATAAGTTTAACATACATTAATAAAAATGTATAATGTGATTAGATAATTTTTTAATCAACATGAAATTGCTTAAACTTCAGTAAATATCATTTATCGGAAAATTTAATCTTTTTGTAGGGGCACCCACAGATTTCAAAATAAATTATAAAATACGGTATTTTTTTAAATGAATAGATGCATCCAGCACAGATATAAGATGAAGATTAAGTACGTCTGACACTTTTGTTGTCCTAATTTATCTGAGGAATCAAACCTTAAAAATTGAAACATAGCACCGAAAACTGTGACACAATTAGTTTTCTTGTAATGTTTCAACTGACAGATTAGCTTCAAAAGTCAATGTAGGTGTTAACGCAAGAACCGTTCAAACCAAAATGTGTTTGTTCTCCTTCTCTTGATGCTAAAAACATGGCACCAACTCTCTCTCTCTCTCTTTTATCATTTCCTTTTGACCCCTTTCTTGATTTCTCTGAATGTTTTTTTACTTCAACAACATATAGACATGAATGAATCAAGAAGAATCAGATTTGGTTTCTTATTCTTCTTCATCCTCATCATCTTGATCTCTTGTGGGATTTCACCAGTATCTTCAGATGAGGGTGTCGCCAGGAAAGAAGATAATCCGTCTCTTTTAAAGATCATATGTGGGATCTTTGGCAAGAAGTTTCCACCGAGTTCTTGGGAATTGATTCAGGGTGCAATGCAGAAAATCCAGATGAAGCTTTACCCTCCAAATCTAGAGTAAAACAAACAAAGCATTTTCATTCGTATACTATTGGAAGCCATGGTTGATCTTAACGCTCATGTGTATTGTATTGTTTTGTTATGACAGTTTCAGAAGCAGCAGCGATAAAAACAACAACAAGGACGAAGAAGGAGAAGATAAAGGAGAGAAAGTGAAAGAAGCGGCGACAAGGAGCCTTGAAGTAAGCAAAGAAGTTATTGAAGAGTCTGCAAAACTAGCAGGTGGTGTTGTAGGAGAAGTAGTTCACAAAACAGCTGAGAAAGTCACCAAAAAAAACTCACATGATGAAATGTAATCTCCCTCATAATGTTATAAAAAAAACACTCAGATTTAAATACTATTTCCATCTCAAAAGGAACCAATCATAGCTTTCAGACTCATGCTTTAAACACACAAGAGAAAATTACATATATTACATAGAATATATTCTTAGGTTTGATTTGCATTCGTTAATAACAAAATTAAAAAAAAAAACCATTATACACATATTGCTTATATATTTGTATCCAACACGGGCCTATTTTAGCAAATCTAAACACAAACCTGCAAACTGGAAAATATATATACATTGATAGATAACTACAAAAGGTTTCATAACCATGTACATTAACAAAACATTTATAAGCGAGAGAAATATATTAAATTATTTATTATACAAGGCAATACATAGCGACTATGATGATATCTAATAATCTCAAGATGGAGGATATATTTGGATAGATTGAAGAAGAGAGTGTTGTTTCCAATTATCATGATCATAAGACAAACCCATGTCATTGTAATAGACATGTGAGGGACTCTCATGGTTATGGACTCCTTCATAGGTTGTAATCACATAAGCTGCATCTTCACAATCTCTTTCTACTCTCTTCTTCACCATGCAACCTTCACTTGAGCATTTGTAGTAGTTCCTATATACATATTTAACATTCATTCACCGTTTATTAGTTTTGTTCTTTTATAAATATCCCATCATTAAACTATATAACCGAATGGTCCTTGATCTCCAAATTACTTATCCAGAATATATGTGGGCGATTTGTTTTGTTTCTCCTAAGCTATATATATATATATATATATATATATGTGAGTCAAGATAAGATATTTATGATGAATGATTATGATCACACATGGATTAGTCAATTCACCACTATTTAACAAGAAAGCTATGTGTATAAACAAGACAAGTATGTATATACACAAGGATGCAGCTGATGGAATCTGTATTTTAATTAATACAAGTGGTTTTGTAAATAATAGGGGAGTATTCAAATCACTATACGATCTGGCTAGTGGTTATTCTAACATTAGAAGAATTACAAGATGGTGACAGAAAATGCTCAAAAAACAATTAAATCAAATGGTATTTATTTAATTTGGAATTAAATGTTTACCTCTTGTTAGTGTTGTTCTTGACAGATTTCTTCCCATACTTCCTCCACTTGTAACCATCATCCATCACATCAATCTTTGATCTCGTTCTAATTGCTACTCGATCACCCATCTCCTTCTTCTCACCATCTTTACTTCCCCTATTTTTTTGCAAAATATAATTAAACTAAAATCATATAGAGATTACTATAAGTGTTAGGTTTAAGAAATCTTTAACCAACAAATATAACTATAACTCACGTTGATTCCTTTTTACTGCTGCCGGATTCGCCATATTCGCCGGTAAAGGCCTCCGACGAAACGATGCTTGTCGGAGGTGAAGCTTCCTGCTGTTTCAAACCATTGTTGCCTCCTTCATCAATACCAAACATCAAACTAGAGAACTCGAGATTATCCATGAAAGGATAAATAGAGTTATCACCGGAGAAGAACGTGACATTAGGGCTAGGGCTTTGAGAAGGATTCATTTTTTACAATAGAAAGAAAAGAAAAAAAGAGAAAGAGAGCAAGTGAAGAAGGGGAGACAGATAAATGAATGGTCTTTTATTTATACAAAATATAATTATGGACGACACTTAAATTTTATAAAGAAAGATAATTAACAGATAAGATCTAACAAATATTTACTACTTATGACAAGCAAGTAAAGTTCAAGGTACATACTAAGAAGGTGCATGCTTCAACACCACGTGTGAACGAAGAGAAAATGGAACGATGATGTCATCGCGATGACGTACGGACAGACGGCAAGGAGGTGTAAAAGTGAGCTTCCACTTAAAGTAATGAGGTCCACGTTATAGCGAGTGCTCATCAGTTAACGTGAATATTTGGGTTTTCGTTTTTAGATCGACGGCTGAGAATGGAAGTTTTATGTTTGATTCTGTTGCATCTGAAACAGACATAAGGTTTTGTAATTTACAGTGTACTGTACACCGAGACAATAAGACTTGACTTATTGAATTCTGTGATACTGGTCGATATGAGATTCTAAAAACAATTATTGATATGTTTGGCCTAATTACGATTTCAATTTTTAGAAAGAAAGATATTTGCTATCAGGTCTAATATATTCATGCAAATGTAAACAAAGATAATAGACTTGACTAATCCGATCCAGTTAAAACATAATATATTTGTATTTACATTATTATTTTTTTGAAATTCTATACTTATATTATTATATAATTCTGTGTATATAGAATATGTTTCGAATAATTTAAATTTCGTTTTAAATATAATTTTATAAAACCTCATAAAAATATATCAACTGTTGACCAAATATAAAAATAATTTTATTGTGAATATAAAATTAATAATATAATGGTTCAGTCTTACTTATATAAATATGTATACATAAAAATTATTAATTTATAATTTTAATAAAACTATATAATTATATCTGATTTTTTAAAATTATTATTTTATTATTTTATCGATTTAAATCCATATTTTGAACTGAATTTTGATATCGAAAAAATAATTAACTAATCATATTTATTAATTTACCGAATAACAATGTATTGAATTTTTACTGTAGTTCTATAAATCAGTCTAAAATGAATCAGTATATGCTAATAAAGTATACTCCCGTTTTGATAGGACGCATATAATTGATGCCGATATAGTTTCTTATTATCGAAAAATATTCTATATTTTTTTGGAAAATTTTCATAAAAATATCCTAACTAAATTTTATTAAACTTTTTAATACTCAGATTTTTGTGTTATCTAGTTAATATCCCAACTAATTATTTTTTAATTTTAATACACAAAATTTATAAATATATCCATTTTAAAAAAAAAATTATTTTAATTAACAATACTAATGAGTTTCAAATGAATTTTTTTAAAAAAAAAATCTAAAATATAATTAAAAACATTTAAAATTTCTAATTTTGCTTTAATAATTAAGAAAGAAGGTAAATAAACTCTGGAAAAAAAATAAAAGTTTGAAAAATATAATTTTGAAGGAAAAAAAATTAATTTATTTTTTATTTTAGAAACAAACTAAATTCAATATTTAAAATTTTAAAAATTCTTTCAAAATTTAAGATTATACAAATTTATCTACTTTTCTTTCTCAAACAAAAAAATTAGAATTTTCTGTAAAGTTTAGAAATTTTTAAATTTTCATTTGAAACTTATTCGTATTTTTATTAAAATAAAAATGAAGTATTAAAATGGACATAGTTATAAAAGTTTGTCTATTAAAATGGATAAAATAATTAGTTAAGAGTATTAAACTGAGTAAAGAAAAAGTTTGAGTACTAAAAACTTATTGAAATTAAATTGGGGTGTTTTTATGGAATTTTCCATATTTTCTTCATCTTATTCATTTTGAAATTAAATTGGGGTGTTTCCTTCAAAAGTTTCTGGCACAGTGTGTAAGGAATATTATAGTTTTATTACACACACTGACCCACAGACATATAAACAAAATTTCGCAAGTCTATTTCTAAGTCAACGAATCAAAGTGGTCTTTTAATCTTGTCTTGAAGGTAAGGCGAAATTTCCTTGCGACACTGTTAATTGTTTTGGCTATAACCACAACATAATTGTTAACCAGTTCTCAAAAGAAAAAAAACAACATAATTGCTCTTTACTGTGTTAAAAAGGTAACGAAAAATAATGAACTAACAAAGAAAAGTATATTCAGAAGCATGTAGTGTGACTTTGTTATAAGAAAAAAATATGGACGCATCCGAGTTGATGATGGGATGGAGAAATAACTTTTTTATTACCATAAAATTTGTGGAATGGCGATATGATTAAACACTTAAGTATATAAATAATGAACATAATGATATATATATGTACACAAATGAAAATGAAATTCAGACGGAAAATAACTATTAACGAGTATATGATTTTATAAAACTGATTATTTCATTTCCTCTAGACGAGTATTTTGATTTGATTATATCGATCTATAAATACATATAGAAGTGCTAATTCAAATGTTAATAAACGAACAAACAAATAAAAATAACCATATGGAATCAATTCCCCAAAATTGGAAGAAAAAAAACAGTAAAGAAAACAAATTATATAATTGTGATTAATCCAAGAAGAACAAGTCCAACGACAATGAATCTTCCCAACACAAAGCTGATCTTGAAGTCGTCACTTCCACTAACGATCTGAATGGGGAACAAGCAACTTCCCACGGTTGCATTGTCCTTAGTAATCCTAGCCATTCCGTTGAAATCACAAGCCCTGACGTCTTGGGCCTGAATCTGATAATACATATTAAAAGCGTATGATATGTTTTGGATCTTGTCTAGCTTACTACATTTTGAATCACCCTTCATCGCTGTGCAGTCACCGTGGTAACATGCATATTCTAGGTCCGGAGCAACCTTATCTAGATTGATCGTATCTTTGTTCACTATGCACCATTGTTTATCTAAGTATTTCACTCCTTTCGCTGCCACGGGTACCATCTTGCGTCCTTTTCCAGTGAAATCTAGCATAAACTTAGGTGTTCCATCGTACCTGGTGGACATTATTAGAAACAACCATAAATGTCAATGACTAATGTTAAGGAAAATAAAAGACAAACATTATGAGTCGTAACAAGTTATGTAAATAGTTTTGACCACATCATATGAAAGTAATAAAAACAATAAGAAGGTCACTTGTCGTTCAAGAAATCTAGTTATAGAGTTGTTAGATATAAAGAGAAACATATTTTATTACCTAAAGATTCCCCAATGTCTCTCGAATGGTCCAGGCATAATACTCTTCATGTCTTCGTCGAGGAAACCGAAGAGATAAACTTCTAATCTCTCAGGCCTCAATGGAGTCCCTTCCTCTTCAGCAAGTCTTTTCATAAGACCTGCGTAAAATTTCTCTGCTAGCTTTGGTGTCGCATATTTATGACCATCCGTTGGCCATCCAATCTATAAAAGATAACCAAATCCAATAAAGGATTTCAACATCTTTGGTATTCATACGTAATTAGTATTCTAAAAATCGGTCTCTTAGTTTTAGATGACAAAAAAAAGCCTAAATGTTCACCTAGTCAACAAATTGACAATGAGTACAACTTTTGTTGTAATATCCCCGATCAGGATTAAGTCAAAATTGATTAGTTTGTTGTATAACAAGAACATGCATGACAAACTAATAAACTTTAACCAAATCAAATGTGCTACTATTTGGCACCAAACATTTGATTCGAGGTTCCAAATCAATTCCAAAATTCTAAAGTCAAATGTCTAAGAACATGTTTCTTAGTGGTTCCAAATTAAGGTTTTGCAACCTGAGTTTCAAACCATTAGTTGCTTCGTCTCAGATTAAGATTAATATCGTATGAAATAAATCTTTTCACAAACCTTTACTATTTATATAATATGATTTTTCTAAATAAAAAATAAATTAAATTGATATAGGTGTCGCACGCCGATGCATCCGACTAAATGCAAATCTTGTACAAAATTATAATCACTATCTAACGATTTCTTAAATACTATACATAATAAAAAAATGTTCTTGTCAAGTTACCTCTCCAATGATAATCTTCATATCTTTAACTCCAGCTTTTTTCAACGCGTAAACAAGCGTATCGTAATTCGCATCAAACACATTATCATAATTCTTGCCATTATCAGGAATTGACTGACCTTTACCGTCGAAAAAGGCGAATTCAACGGGGAAATGTTCGTTCAGGTAAAGACTAAGAAAAGGATAAATGTTGACCGTGAAAGGTAAGTCATTATCATGAAAGAAGTTAACGATGTCAAGCATTGTTTTCTTTACATCCTTGCGAAAATCGCCTTCTGATGGCTTATCATTAGCTGATTGGTAAACTTCAGCGTTTTGTGGAATCGTGGCTTTCATTTTATCAGTATGTCCAGCTTCTTTTAACGCCTTGTGAATGTTCTTTAATGCTGGAAACGTTGTCTCCAAGAATGATCCGTTGTATGATGACAAGAAAGGCTCGTTCCCCACAGCCACGTACCTTTAAATAACGATATATATAATGGATTTAGGTCAATCCACTTATAATGTTGCTAATCAAATATTCGAATATAATCATTAGAAAAAGTTTAAAGGTCTTTTAGTGTTACTTGATGTTGACGCCACCCTTACGCATGTAAGCCGTGACATTTTCTTTGACCCAATCTTTAGCATTTTCGTAATCATCGGCTAGAGTTTCAAGAAGGTTATTAGGGATTCCAACCATAACCTCCATGCCCGTACCGGCCAAAGTATTCATCGTCCATGAATCAGCGTCAAAAAGCTTCACTTTATTGATCTTGTTGTCCTTAAGCATCCTAACAACAATATCAGGATTCAATGGATGCGACGCTATATTGCCCCAGTTCACACCGAAGCCTCTGACCAAGCTACTCATGGTCAAAGTGGTCATTATAACCGTTCCAACATTAACGAGCATCGCTGCTCTTCTGGTCATATTGAGAAAGTGGTGATGAGTGAGATTAGGTTAGTTTGATGTAGCTCAAAGATGTTCTTTAATTGATTGTTGTGTGTTTTTTCCCAGTCCGTGAGTTTCTTTTTCGTGTCTTTAGATGGTCTTGGGAATGTTGTAATAAGCATGTTTTTAGGTTGCTAGTGAGAAATTTTATATAGCGTAAAATAAATATCTATTTTTAGGAAGAAACACGAGTGAATGTAGATGTCTTTTGCCGGACACTTGTAATCAGTTAGTGAATTATTTTGTTTTTGGTTAAGAGAATATGTCGCCGTATAAAATTGGTCGAACTATTTTTTGAAAATTAAATTCTCTTGAATGGCACTATTTAATATGGATTTTGGCCGGAAAATATTTTTATTAAGGTGGTATATTGATACGTAAACTTGAATAAGCATAATTTTTTATCAATATCTACTATCCTTTTTTAAACCAACATGTTAAAAACTAAACTCACTATTAATCTTTAATCTCTTTTTTTCTTATGAACAACAAACTTTAATATCTTAGAGTACGCCTTTTATGCAGAATATATGAGCTACTTGAACAATTTCTTAATATTTGATAGGCATCGGAAAAAAATTGAAATTGACCTTTAAGATAGAAAAATAAATAAAATATTTGACTGTGATTTTCTTCGATAGACGATATGATTCATTCAATGTCTTGTGTATAAGCTCTCAAGACTTAAATGTAGACTTGTTAACGGTGATGAAAGATTGACAGAGACTGATAATACCAACTGGGACCAAACCTACATCTACATGTGCTTCATGTTCCTTGTCTCTGTTCAACTTGTCTGCAAAACACATTGCTTGGATGTTGATCTCCGAGCGAGAAGCTACGTGTTTCAATGTAAGACCTGATAAGTTTGTAGAAATCTCTAGGGGTAGATAAAAACAAAAGTTACAGAACACACTTCTTTTTTGGGCATGACTTTCTTTGTACTAACAAAACATTCATCAGCAGCTGTTGTCTAAAGATTGTCAATGGTTCTTGGTACATAACATTTTGGATTTTCTGGACTTCTCCAAACAAAAAAAAAAATCACGGGTTTTCGAAAGTAAGAGTCTAATCAACTTATGTAGCTAATCATATGAAACTGGCAATAATAAAATTATAAAGTCATGGAAACAACTTGTCACACAGTATTTAAAAATAATTAGGTCCACAAACAATAATATCAGGTCATAGATCCATTTATTTCATGGGAGGAGAACTCAAAATGAGTCATAATATCAAATAAAGTTCAAACTTCTTTGGTCCATATATCTCACTGATCAATAAGAGCACAATACTAGTTATACTAGAATTGTCATTTTTCTTCTTCAACTAACACAATAGAATTTTGGATCTAGCAAACTTAATTTAATGACTGAAATAAAAAGATATTATTTATCATATTTTATTCACGATGGAGTTATAAGAAAAAACTTTTTACAAAAATAATTGGATGATTTGTTTTGAAATAAGTGGAAAAAGAAAGTAGGCCAACTATTGTCGGTTTTTTTTTTCTTTGTAGTTGGAGAAATGAATGTTAATAATGAATGGCTAATTGAGAAACACATGACTCTACAAACTTTACATCATTTTTTGCTATATTTGTACACTCTCTCTACCATGTCCCTGACCCCCACACTCCAATCTACATCCCTGATGTGGTCCCGTTTAATTTATTTTATCGAAATTATATGAATTAGGTAAATCTCACGTTATCAACGACAATCCATTTCAAGATATATGGCTAATGGAATATTTATAAGCCTTATATTGTGTTTGAATTTCAAGTCCTGTAAAACGGATGTATATCATTAACATGCATGATAGATAATGAACAAAATGGCTAGATTAAATTTTATCATCAAACATAACATGCTCAATCTCTAGCTACCAATTCTCTCTCGTTATGAGGTTTACTAATACATCCCCTCGTCCACGCGTTGACTACGTGAAAAATGTATGTTTGTGTGTATAAACAATATTGGATCATTGGATGTAAAACTCGCACATAAATCATTTGTTTTGACTGTTCTGATAAATCGTATTCCTTTAAAGGACCACAATTTTTTCAATATCTTCATTTGATCAAAGGACCACCTCGGTCCTAGCTATCATCTCCTCGAATTTTATCTCACCATGATGAAGCACTAAAAATATGGTTATAGACTTTGGATGGTATATATCAATTTATTGCACGCAGTGCCAGCCCTGAGATTTTGGGGGTTCTAGACAAGTTTTAAAAATTTTCAGTTAAAAAAATTTTAAAACTAAATTGAGGGTCAAAAAAAAAATTTTGGGGCTTATATACATAATTTTTTTCAAAATTTTTGGGGGCATGAGGCGAATGTTTTAACAGGATTAGCCCATGATCAGTCCTGATTGCATGTATATAGGTGGTATAAGTGTAAGAGCATGATTAACACGGAGTTCTTATGGTGGGGTTTTTAACGGAAGTTAATAAACTGTTTCTTAATTTTTAATTAAAAAATTAATAAATAATTTCTTAAATTTCGCTAACAACCCTATCCTAAAAATTTTGGGTTAATCATGGTCTAGCTTAACTACTTGTTATTCGATAGTTGTGGGAAGTTATTACCCCCACAGTCCCACTTACTCCACTATTACCTCTTGCTATAGCTTTTCTTATATTGCAAATGAGAACAATTTTGTAGAGAGAACTTTAAAAATTTGGTAATTTGGAGAAATATAGAGTTGAAGCTTGTTAAAGAAAAAAATGTTTAACAATCAACCGTGAAGTCACTTGAAATCTAGAATTATGCTAATGTGGGAAGACACATAAATACCAACGTCAAGTCCTTAGACCCATATGTCCCAGTAACTTCCAAAACGTTCTTAAATTCTGATATAATATATGGGACCATAAGCTCATAACAGAATCATTCATCTTGTGTATATAAACACAAAAAGGTTCAATGAAAAACATATAGCCAAAGAAAAATAAACTAAGTCACTTCTAAAAATGGCAGTTAGGGTTTCTTACAAGCTTCTCCTCCTGGCTTTTCTTCTCATTGCCTTAATTTCTTCTCCTGCTCAAGGTATATATATAGCTACTATAGAGAATCATGAGATAATACACACATATGCATATAAGGAATATATAATATTTATATCAACTAGCTGCATGCTTTTAAAGATTTCATACACAAACTTGAATGATTTTTATTAATAAATACTACCAAAATGAGTTTCTGATGATGTTTTTTTGTTTATATTTTTAGCACGAAGCAAAGAAGTCGTGAGGAATAGAAAACTATTGGTTGGGGAGAAGGAGCAAGAGACTCGGAACTCAAGGCAAGACGGAGGAGGAAGTGATGGTTATGGATTGGTGGATATGGATTATAATAGTGCGAACAAGAAAAGACCGATACACAACCGCTAATAAACACATATGGTCATGAGCTTATCAATTTCTTGTGAGATATCCAAAGATTCTATGATATCCTGAGATTTACATGATCCATTCAACAGAAATTACCATCAAGTATTGAGAATGTAAAATATTTTATATATCAACATATAAAATATAATCGAGTTTGTATACATTAGTATAATTGAGTTTGAATGGATAAATAAATATAAACGATTCTATATAACAATCATAGTTTGTGTGTGCTTTATGTATGTATTGTATCATTGGTTTCTGTTTGTGAGAAAATCTCAATGGACATGTATATTGTGTATATAGGGGGACTTTCAATATCTTCTTTTATTTTTAAAGCAATATCTTTCATTATGATTACATGTGTTATAGATACTGATGATAATAACAAACAAAAATATTAATATAAACAACTTTCTAATGAAAACATTCCTTGTATAAAAAATGATATTAGAGATTCATAATACTCATCCATTTATGTACGTATTAGGTATGGGCGTTTCAGGTATCGATTCGGTTTGGTTCAGGTATTTCGGGTTTCAGTTTGGGTAGGCAGTTAGAAGATCCATTTACTACTTGACTTATTTTCGGTTTGGTTTGGATAGTTTTGGGTTCAGTTCGGTTCGGATAGTAAAATTATGAATCAGAAAATACCTAGAAAATTCAGTTCTCATTAAGTTCTGGTTCAGGTTGGGTAAATTATCAATTCTTTAAGATATAATATCAAATAATTAGAACGATTTAGATATAAATTTTAGATATTCGGATTACTTTAGATATTTGGATAAAATTATATGTATACATCAGATAGTTCGAATACTTTATTATTATTTAGTTATCTTCAACTATTTTGGATACTTCTAATAGACTTTTAAATTAAAATCATATATTTGGTTATATTATATATAAGGGTTTAGTTCTCGGTTCGATTCCGGTTCGGTTCAGTTATTTCGGATATATAAATATAAGAACCATTCGGATATTTAAGGGTTTCAGTTCGGTTTCGATTTCGAATATTTCAGTTCGGTTCTTCGGTTCCAGTTTTTTTGACCAGGCCTAATGTATTAAGACGTTTTAGAATTCACGAGAATCACTTTATGTCCCAAATTTGATGATTCAGGTGATCTTCAATATACTTTTTTCGCATGACAAAGTGAGATGCGAACGCAATAAATACTGTGTATAAACGTAGTCTCTAGGCCCATTAAATTAACGTAGTCTATAGGCCCATTAAATAAAGAGTTGTCACGAAATTCGCAAGAGACTATGGTTCATAAAGCTGACACTAAGAGCTTGAGAAACAGGTTTAGCCACACACACCACACTGGAAAGACATTTTGCTAAGTTCTAACTTATTGTAAACTTTCAACTTGAAACTGATTGGTAATAAATGGATCGACCCATATCTTTATATATATTATTTATATTCTATCAAAATCCATGATATGAAAATTTTATATTCTCACATACCCTTTAAGATGATGTTTTTTTTAACCATTATTAATCTTGACAATATCTTAATATAGAATTAAAATCAGATTAGCCAAACCAATTTAGATCAGATTCAGGTCAATCAGATTTCTTTGGACCTGATCGATTTTGATACGGTTAAGCAACAAATGTTAAGCCTTTGATATATTATTTTATTTGGGAATTAATGAAACCTGTACAGAAAACTCTTTGTTGTTGTCTTTTCATTTTTTACAACTAAATAATTTATAACCTATTATTGTGAAAAATACTGGGAAAAGAAAAAAACAAGACAACATGCAAAGACTAAACGAAGAAAGCAATACAAACCTTAAACCCTATAACAATCAATCATTTTCTCTTTTTCTATTTAGCTATGTATAGTAAAAAAAAAGGAAATGAATCAATTCCATCATGAAGATGGACTGTTATTGTAGTTATTATTACTTGTCATGTCTAGTGGCCACTGTAGGTCATGGAGATAACCGGTTTCGCTTGATTCCAACGGCGGTTGAACCGGAGTTGCTGACGAAGTGGATTGCATCATTGAGCCTCCAGTGTGACCAAAACGCAACGGAAACGACATTTGTTCATATAAATCTATAGACTGTTGATGGAGAGCCATCTCTGAGTAGCTCAAATTGTACGATGGCATCAACGGCTGAGAATTAACTATTTGCTCTGAAACTGGTCGTATAGGCAAAAGGGTACTTGTGGAACTCGAGTTCCTTAACTGAGTTAGTGTCTGAACAGGTTCAGTTTGTGTAACAGCGTTTGAAGCGGGTGTAACGAGTTTAACGTTTTCAGGGAAGTTGAGTTTGGCTTTGCTGCCTCTAAACCGAAGAGCAGCTTCATCGTAAGCTCTTGCAGCTGATTCAGCGTTATCGAACGTACCAAGCCAAACTCTAGACGCTTTGAAAGGATCTCGAATCTCAGCCGCCCATTTTCCCCACGGTCTTTGTCTCACTCCTCTGTATCTTCTTCGAGGTTGGTCCCCATTTAACGACGACGTTTCGGTACTAGCATTTGTTGTGGTTGTGTACTCATATGTTGGGCCTGAACCTGACATGTTGCTCGAAGCTTCCTTCACTGCAAACAAACAAAACATATAAAATATAAATAATTGAATGTCTCGAATAATGTTATTGTAAGAGAAAGTCGTTAAAAAGAGTGTTGGTGATTATGAGAAAGTGATGAGGCCACAAAAGAGCAATGAACAAGTAGAAAAAAATAAAGCGAGTGGAAAACGACTCTTGATGCAAATGGAGGGAGATAGATTCTTTTGGCATATAATCATTAATTCATTATCATACATTGACCTTTTTTATTATAATTCTAAAGTATATGTCCTAGGATAATTAAGTACACTTTCGTTATTGTTAATAATTTTAAAAATATTGTCAACACTTTCATTACTTATCATCATGACTGCAAAATGATCATAACCAAAATGAATAATTGTTACATCAAGATTAATATCCTACAAACCGTGTAATTACCGTCTAAAAAATTACATTCAAAAAAATGATTTAAAACATGCATAATAGTGTGTTTTAAGAGAAAATTCCTTTTTTTTTTTTTTTTTTTTTTAAAAGAAAAAATT